GCATGTAGAGACATTTATTCTGAGGAAACTAGCCTATTTAAATATTTGAATTTTTTTAGCCAAAATCCTGGACCACCCCGGCCCTTAACATTTCGGCCTGAAAGTGGCGTTTATTCGACTTTTTACAATAATTGCCCCTACACCCCTTTCAAACGCATATGAGGGTCAGGGTTGATCTCATGGCATGTAGAGACATTTATTCTGAGGAAACTAGCCTATTTAAATATTTGAATTTTTTTAGCCAAAATGCTGGACCACCCCGGCCCTTAACATTTCGGCCTGAAAGTGGCGTTTATTCGACTTTTTACAATAATTGCCCCTACACCCCTTTCAAACGCATATGAGGGTCAGGGTTGATCTCATGGCATGTAGAGACATTTATTTTGAGGAAACTAGCCTATTTAAATATTTGAATTTTTTCGGCCAAAATACCTTCACCACCCCGGACCTTAACATTTCGGCCTAAAAGTGGTGTTTATTCGACTTTTTTACAATATTTGCCCCTACACCCCTTTCAAACGCATATGAGGGTCAGGGTTGATCTCATGGCATGTAGAGACATTTATTTTGAGGAAACTAGCCTATTTAAATATTTGAATTTTTTTAGCCAAAATGCTGGACCACCCCGGCCCTTAACATTTCGGCCTGAAAGTGGCGTTTATTCGACTTTTTACAATAATTGCCCCTACACCCCTTTCAAACGCATATGAGGGTCAGGGTTGATCTCATGGCATGTAGAGACATTTATTCTGAGGAAACTAGCCTATTTAAATATTTGAATTTTTTTAGCCAAAATGCTGGACCACCCTGGCCCTTAACATTTCGGCCTGAAAGTGGCGTTTATTCGACTTTTTACAATAATTGCCCCTACACCCCTTTCAAACGCATATGAGGGTCAGGGTTGATCTCATGGCATGTAGAGACATTTATTTTGAGGAAACTAGCCTATTTAAATATTTGAATTTTTTCGGCCAAAATCCTGGACCACCCCGGACCTTAACATTTCGGCCTAAAAGTGGTGTTTATTCGACTTTTTTACAATATTTGCCCCTACACCCCTTTCAAACGCATATGAGGGTCAGGGTTGATCTCATGGCAAGTACAGACATTTATTCTGAGGAAACTAGCTATTTAAATATTTGAATTTTTTCGGCCAAAATCCTGGACCACCCCGGACCTTAACATTTCGGCCTAAAAGTGGTGTTTATTCGACTTTTTACAATATTTGCCCCTACACCCTTTTCAAGCGCATATGAGGGTCAGGTTCCATCTCATGGCATGTAGAGACATTTATTCTGAGGAAACTAGCCTATTTTAATATTTGAATTTTTTTAGCCAAAATGCTGGACCACCCCGGCCCTTAACATTTCGGCCTTAAAGTGGTGTTTATTCGACTTTTTACAATATTTGCCCGTACATCCCTTTCAAACGCATTTGAGGGTCAGGTTCCATCTCATGGCATGTAGAGACATTTATTCTGAGGAAACTAGCCTAATTAAATATTTGAATTTTTTTAGCCAAAATGCTGGACCACCCCGGCCCTTAACATTTCGGCCTGAAAGTGAAGTTTATTTGAATTTTTACAATATTTGCCCCTACACCCCTTTCAAACGCATATGAGAGTCAGTGTTGATCTCATGGCATGTAGAGACGTTTATTTTGAGGAAACTAGCCTATTTAAATATTTGAATTTTTTTCAGCCAAAATGCTGGACCACCCCGGCCCTTAACATTTTGGCCTAAAAGTGGTGTTTATTCGACTTTTTACAATATTTGCCCGTACATCCCTTTCGAATGCATATGAGGGTCAGGTTCCATCTCATGGCATGTAGAGACATTTATTCTGAGGAAACTAGCCTATTTAAATATTTGAATTTTTTTAGCCAAAATGCTGGACCACCCCGGCCCTTACCATTTCGGCCTGAAAGTGGTGTTTATTTGAATTTTTACAATGTAGAGACATTTATTTTGAGGAAACTAGCCTATTTAAATATTTGAATTTTTTCGGCCAAAATCCTGGACCACCCCGGACCTTAACATTTCGGCCTAAAAGTGGTGTTTATTCGACTTTTTACAATATTTGCCCCTACACCCCTTTCAAACGCATATGAGGGTCAGGGTTGATATCATGGCATGTAGAGACATTTATTTTGAGGAAACTAGCCCATTTAAATATTTGAATTTTTTCGGCCAAAATGCTGGACCACCCCGGACCTTAACATTTCGGCCTAAAAGTAGTGTTTATTCGACTTTTTACAATTTTTGCCCCTACATCCCTTTCGAACGCATATGAGGGTCAGGTTCCATCTCATGGCATGTAGAGACATTTATTCTGAGGAAACTAGCCTATTTAAATATTTGAATTTTTTTAGCCAAAATGCTGGACCACCTTGGCCCTTAACATTTCGGCTTGAAAGTGGCGTTTATTCGACTTTTTACAATAATTGCCCCTACACCTTTTTCAAATGCATATGAGGGTCAGGGTTGATCTCATTGCATGTAGAGACATTTATTTTAAGGAAACTAGCCTATTTAAATATTTGAATTTTTTCGGCCAAAATGCTGGACCACCCCGGACCTTAACATTTCGGCCTAAAAGTAGTGTTTATTCGACTTTTTACAATATTTGCCCGTACATCCCTTTCGAACGCATATGAGGGTCAGGTTCCATCTTATGGCATGTAGAGACATTTATTCTGAGGAAACTAGCCTATTTTAATATTTGAATTTTTTTAGCCAAAATGCTGGACCACCCCGGCCCTTAACATTTCGGCCTTAAAGTGGTGTTTATTCGACTTTTTACAATATTTGCCCGTACATCCCTTTCGAATGCATATGAGGGTCAGGTTCCATCTCATGGCATGTAGAGACATTTATTCTGAGGAAACTAGCCTATTTAAATATTTGAATTTTTTTAGCCAAAATGCTGGACCACCCCGGCCCTTACCATTTCGGCCTGAAAGTGGTGTTTATTTGAATTTTTACAATGTAGAGACATTTATTTTGAGGAAACTAGCCTATTTAAATATTTGAATTTTTTCGGCCAAAATCCTGGACCACCCCGGACCTTAACATTTCGGCCTAAAAGTGGTGTTTATTCGACTTTTTACAATATTTGCCCCTACACCCCTTTCAAACGCATATGAGGGTCAGGGTTGATATCATGGCATGTAGAGACATTTATTTTGAGGAAACTAGCCCATTTAAATATTTGAATTTTTTCGGCCAAAATGCTGGACCACCCGGGACCTTAACATTTCGGCCTAAAAGTAGTGTTTATTCGACTTTTTACAATTTTTGCCCCTACATCCCTTTCGAACGCATATGAGGGTCAGGTTCCATCTCATGGCATGTAGAGACATTTATTCTGAGGAAACTAGCCTATTTAAATATTTGAATTTTTTTAGCCAAAATGCTGGACCACCTTGGCCCTTAACATTTCGGCTTGAAAGTGGCGTTTATTCGACTTTTTACAATAATTGCCCCTACACCCCTTTCAAATGCATATGAGGGTCAGGGTTGATCTCATTGCATGTAGAGACATTTATTTTGAGGAAACTAGCCTATTTAAATATTTGAATTTTTTCGGCCAAAATGCTGGACCACCCCGGACCTTAACATTTCGGCCTAAAAGTAGTGTTTATTCGACTTTTTACAATATTTGCCCGTACATCCCTTTTGAACGCATATGAGGGTCAGGTTCCATCTCATGGCATGTAGAGACATTTATTCTGAGGAAACTAGCCTATTTTAATATTTGAATTTTTTTAGCCAAAATGCTGGACCACCCCGGCCCTTAACATTTCGGCCTTAAAGTGGTGTTTATTCGACTTTTTACAATATTTGCCCGTACATCCCTTTCAAACGCATTTGAGGGTCAGGTTCCATCTCATGGCATGTAGAGACATTTATTCTGAGGAAACTAGCCTAATTAAATATTTGAATTTTTTTAGCCAAAATGCTGGACCACCCCGGCCCTTAACATTTCGGCCTGAAAGTGGCGTTTATTTGAATTTTTACAATATTTGCCCCTACACCCCTTTCAAACGCATATGAGAGTCAGGGTTGATCTCATGGCATGTAGAGACGTTTATTTTGAGGAAACTAGCCTATTTAAATATTTGAATTTTTTCAGCCAAAATGCTGGACCACCCCGGCCCTTAACATTTTGGCCTAAAAGTGGTGTTTATTCAACTTTTTACAATATTTGCCCCTACACCCCTTTTGAACGCATATGAGGGTCAGGGTTGATCTCATGGCATGTAGAGACATTTTATTGTGAGGAAACTAGCCTATTTAAATATTTGAATTTTTTCAGCCAAAATGCTGGACCACCCCGGCCCTTAATATTTCGGCCTAAAAGTGGTGTTTATTCGACTTTTTACAATATTTGCCCCTACACCCCTTTCAAACGCATATGAGGGTCAGGGTTGATCTCATGGCATGTACATGTACATGTACTTCTAATTCTACTACTATTACTACTACTACTACTCCTACATCTACTTCTACTTCTACTTCTACATCTACTTCTGTTCTACTTCTACTACATCTACTAATACTACTACTACTAGTACTACTACTACTCTATCTACTTCTCCTTCCACTTCTACTTCTACTTCTAATTCTACTTCTAATTCTACTTCTAATTCTACTACTACTACTACTACGACTACTAATACTACTACTTCTATTTTACTACTACTACTACTACTACTACTTCTCCTTCTCCTTCTCCTTCTTCTTCTTCTCCTTCTCCTTCTGTCTCCTTCTCCTTCACCTTCTCCTTCTATTTCTTCTTCTACTTCTACTTCTACTTCTACTTCTACTTCTACTTTTACTACTACTTCTACTTCTACTTTTACTTCTACTTCTACTTCTACTTCTACTTCTACTTCTTCTACTGCTTTTACTTCTACTTCTACTTTTACATTTACTTCTACTTCTACTTCTACTTTTACTACTACCCTAACTACTAATACTGTTTGTGCTTCTGCTGCAGGTGTTGAATCCCTTGAACAGCCTTAATGTTATCCAAGGATCACGCAATTTAAGCTGCCCATCTGGCTCATCTTCTTCATTCTCAAGCAGGCATGTCGACAGCGCTGAAGGCTTCAGGGTAAGTTGCACCTTTGGGTTTTAGGTTAAGTTTGAGATGGGGTTTTAGGTTAAGTTTGAAATTGGGTTTAAGTTGAGTTGAAATTGGGTTTTCGGTTACGATTGAGATTGGGTTTTAGGTTAAGTTTGAGATTGAGTTTTAGGTTAAGTTTGAGATTGGGTTGTAGTTAAGGTTTGAGATTGGGTTTTAGGTTAGGTTTGAGATTGGGTTTTAGGTTAAAGATGAAGTTGAGTTCTGGTCATGCGATTGCATTGTGAAAGAAACGGTGTGGAACCGACCAGAAAAGGTTGATCATCTAGCATATAAGAATTTGTGTGTATTGCAAGGTTCTGGAATCATCAAAATGATAATAAATGTGGCCAAGTCTTGGTAAAGTTACAAACACTTGCACAAAAAGATGTATGTGGGACTACACGAACACGTGGCGTAAAAAGCCGGCCCCCCGATTTTTACGATGTTACATGCATATTTAGAATATGAAGGCATTTGAAGAGCCATGCTTTTCAGGGAACATGTCTTAACTGATGTTCTTCCACACTTGCATAATAAGAATGAGTAATGCTCACAAATTATTTTTCACCTCTTCCCAGAACTCAACCTTCTCTTTAAGTTTAGGGTTGCATTGGGATATGGATTAAGTACATGTATAATGTACAGCGGCTCCTGAAAAATCCTGAGAATGGGCTGGCTTCAAATTCTTTCATCCCAATCTCCCACGTCTATGGAATAAACTCCCTTGATTTCTAAGAAATAGTACTTCACTTGACTTCTTCAAAAAACATCTGAAAAAGTACCTCTACAAATCTTCTTAATGTGTTGATTGAGATAAAGGGACAGCACCTTGTATCCTCTAGAAAAGGCGCTATATGAATCCAATTATTATTATTGTTATTAATCATATTTGGACCAGGATGGAAACTGGGAATTTGTATACCATAGGAAATAGATCAAGGGGAGTGTGTCACAAAGACTAAGATCGACTTTAAGTTGGACTTAACTATGGCAGGCTGTAATGCAACTGTTTGCTCTCACCATTTACTGGCAATGGTCTCTCAAGGGACATACATGTACAAATCATGGTCACATTACTGAAGGAAAAAATATCATCTAAAGATCATACTGGTGAGAGCAACCGGTGGCATGAATGGCCTGCCATAGTTTAGTCCAACTTAAAATCGATCTTAGTCTTTGTGAAACAGGAGTATATACCGCCGGAGCATGTGTCATACAACCAAGCATAGACTTACTTGCCAGTGGTTAATGTAGCTATACAGAGTAGGTGTGAATCCTTAGACATTTGTATTAAGCGCTATATAAAAATTAAATGTTATTATTATTCATTATTATTATCCTTGGTTTGATGATTCTTCTATCCACTCCCAGACTGCAGGTGTAGGTGTCCATACTGATCTCAAGTTAGAAACCAGACCTTGCTGGGAGAGGAGAAGCATCTGCCGTAAGTGTTTCTCAAGGTTGCTAATGATTTTGTCAAGAAGGTTTGGATGAATAATAATAATTATATTTGCTTGTATAGCGCCTAACACTAACATGTACTTTATCAGAAGTCTCTAAGCGCTCTACAATAATGCAGCATAATTACCCTGGCTTTAGCAGTATAGCTGTTACGCGCGCTGCGTTTCAAGGAATAAATTCCTACCTTATTATTTAAAGCCCCACTGTACTACTTATAGCTACTTGCGCCCTCTTTATAGCAAACAATGCCTAAGCGGTACCTGTTGGTCCCCCATGATCCCCTTTTTCTTATGTTAATTGAGAGCTAAGTTGATTAGATAACTTTAAGATTGTATTTATTATGGTTTTAGCCCATTGCCTCCATTAACTGGGTGTCTGTTGTGGTAAGCCTATGGGAAGTGAGAAATTTAGTAGTCAATTGGTTATAATGGAAATAAATCAGAAAAGAAACGTAAGAAGATATCAATATTTCAATAGGTAGTAGAGAATAGACATTAAGGGTGGTATTCTCGAAAGCGGACTAACTTTAATCCTCCGACTAAGTATGGAATGCCAAGTGTCCATATGAATATATTGTTGAATAATTTGATGTCCCTAAATGACAGTGATAATATAATTTTTTCATACCGGTAGTTAAATTGTTGTTTATTAATTATGTTATTAAATTTATTTTAATATAGTGACAGATTACATTATTCAAAAACATATTCATATGGACACTTGGCATTCCATACTTAGTCTGAGGATTAAACCATGGACTAAAGTTAGTCCACTTTCGAGAATACCACCCTAGGTGTTTGTATTTAGATTCACTTTAATCTACATCAGCTCATTCCTTTCTCATTCCCAACTTCCTTTAGAAACAGGCTGGTTTCAATTCCTTTTGATCCGTGGCCCCACGCTTTTGGAACAAACTCTCTGCATTTCTAAGAAATAGTACTTCACTTGTAATCTTCAAGAACCATTTGATAACATATCTCTGCAATTCTTCTTAACCTGTTGACTACTGAATTCTCTAGTTCCCATAGGCTTAATACAGGGATCACCTGGTTCCAGCAGGCAATGGGTTTAATTTGTCCTTAGGCATGAGATATTTATTATTGCTGTCGTTCCGATGCAGGATCCTGCAATGCGCGCTACAGAACGATCGGCGCAATGATCAGTGACAGGAGTACAAATATTATACAACACTGCGCCAGAACGCGACGGCGTGATAATCGTCCGACTGCAGTAGGATGAATTGATTTAATAAATATACGCGCAGCGCTGGCAAGCGTTTAAGTCGGTACACTGTACATGCGCACGACTCAAAATTATATATCGAGTGTCCCGACATTGACATTTCTATATTATAAACAAGTCGGAGTTAAAATAACTTCTAACCACAGCTGTGCGTGTGTTTATAAACATAACATTTACAAATAATTTCTACGTACAATCGTGCGTTTGTTAATAAACATGACGGAGTTAAAATAATTTCTACTACAACTGTTTGGTTGATTTTAAACATGACGGAGTTTAAAATAATTTCTTCTAAGACCGTGTGTTTGTTTATATTACATGACGGAGTTTAAATAACTTCTACTACAAATTATGTGCGTTTGTTTATGAGTATCATGGAGTTAATATAATTTCTACCACAATTGCATGTGTGTAATTTGTTTATAAATATGACATTTAAAAATAATTTCTACTACAAATATGCATTTGTTTATAAACATGATTGATCATGGAGTTAAAATAATTTCTACTACAACTACCGGTATCTGGTTGTTTTTAAACATGACAGAGTTTAAAATTATTTCTTCTAAGATCGTGTGTTTGTTTATAAACATGACGGAGTTTAAATAACTTCCACTACAAATTCTGCGTTTTTGATATTAAAGCATGACAGAGTTTAAGTAATTTCTACTGCTACAAGTAGGCCTACAACTGTGCGTTTGTTTATAAAAATGACAGCGTGAAATAAATTGTACTACCGTGTACCCCGCGCTTTTGTTTATAGACTAGGAGGACAGCTAGTGCTTCGTATCCTTTGGAGAAAGGTGCTATATAAATACAGTCAATATTATGATTTTGTTTTGTTCTTTCGATACAGCACCATGGGGATGTTTATCTACTTTTTATTCGTTTTCAATGGCGCACGCTCCTGTGGGCGACTCGGATCTGGGTCTTGAACGAGGTGTACCTGACATGGTGATATTGCAAAATGTAGAGTTAGATGTGGAGCAGGATGAGCAGCAGGCAGCCCCGCCTACAAAGCTGCGCAGCTACTTTCCTGAAACATGGCTCTGGAATCTCAAAAGACTGGGGTAGGTGATGGTAATTAATGAATAATAAGGGTGGCTTCTTTTGTAGCGCACATGACTGTGACGCTCATGGGGCTCCAACATCATATCCAAATATATATAACACTCTATTAAAGGCACCGTTTAACAATGTTAAATCCGAGATGCATGGCCATACGTGTTATCAGTGTCTGTGATATGATGTAATATTGAAGCCCTAAAAAATTGTGCTTCAAAATGATCATGAAGTGCCTCAAAAAAGAAAAAATCTTTGAGTGACCGGTTTTACCATACTCATATTCCCCAATAGACTGTAGTGTTATAAAAGCTGTTAGGAAAACGAAAAATGAAATTTCGATGTCCAATCATAAATATCTTGATAATCAGGTGATGGGCCTAGTAAAAGTTGTGGAATTCCTGACTGACCTAAAGGTTTATAATCATGATTGCAGCATGAGCTAAATCCAGGATTTTGTTTCAAAATCTGAGGCAATGTGACGTTAGTGCTGGGCTGGGATTCGAACCCTCGACCCTTGGGTTGAGAGTCAAGTGAATGACCCGCTATACCATGACACCTCCACAAGTAAGCATGCTTTCCCAAGTCTGGATTACAAGCCTCACGGTGACAGCAGTGATTTTGATTTGCCTTTGTCCCTCCAGGCAGCTAGGGAAAGCATGCTCAGGAAAAGAAATGCATTTACATGAATGATTTTGCCTGTCTTTTGCTTTCATCGTGATAGTTTCATTCATGAATTGTGTCTACATGTTTGTTTATCTACCAAATGAAATAATGATAGTAATAATAGTTTGTCTTTGGCCTCTTTCACTTCCACAAAATGTTGTCAAACTACCAAGTTTAGTCTTATCGTCGCAAAATTACAGAAAACAGCAATTTCCTCTTCTTTTTTTTTTGGGGGGGGGAGGGCGTGTCATGGGCATTTTCACAACATTTCCAAGCAAACTTATCATACCAATCATACAAAGAAATTGATGGTGTTTCTGTTTTGGTCATGAAGTTTCATCCGACTGACATATATGAATCAATCGCTTCACGGTACGATTTTGTCCTTTTTGAGTAACTGAATGGAAATTTGTTCATTACGGAAAAAAATCTTTGTACTGTATGATATTGGCGTAATATACATTTATTTCACCAAAGAAGAAGAAGATGGAGAAGAAAAAAAGAACCAGTCGTTATAACCATCAATTTGTTATCCTTTTTGGTATCTCAACTCCTGGACTCTGACTATATGCCAAAGGTGAACTAATAATATACAATACTTATATAGCGCATATCACAAATATGTCCCTATGAATATAATAGAGAGAAGGAAAGAAAAAGAAAGAGAATATTGAGAAAAGTAAGATATGCTCAACATATGTTACTTAAAGCCTGTCTGCACTTTCTACTTGTAGCTACTTGCTCCCTCTACATAGAAAACAATGCCTAAGTGGTGCCCTTTGGTCCCCAATGATCCTCTTTTTCTTATGTTAATTGAGAGCTGATGTGATGAGATAACCACCTGTCTGTGACCATGCGGGGAGGTCTAATCCCTCCTTGCCAAACTAGTGCAGACAGGCTTTAAGTTAACAATTTAAATTGCTTTTAAAAAGAAATTTGAGACATGTTCTAAAGTTGTCAACAGTATCACATGTTTTTATATATTCTGGCAATTTATTCCAAAGGGCTGCAAAGAGCTTGACCGATAAAACTTTGTATTTATTTGAGGAATAGTATAAAGGAGAGACTTTTGGGAGGAACTGAGGTTTCTGATGTTTCTCTTAGAACCACCATTTAAGGCTTGTTCATGTTTGATCCGAAAAACCACAGCTCTTTTCTTATAATGACACAAGCATTACGTGCTTCACCAAAAACAAAGGACGAGAGTCTCAACACTAAGCATTTTCTTTCATGGGGTACTTCTCTCTGTCAGGTCTGATGGGCAAAGTGTGATAGAAGAAGAGATCCCGGACACCATCACTGACTGGGTAGCTAGTGCCTTCTGCCTCTCATCTGAGCATGGTATAGGCGTGGCAGAGGCTGCATCCATCCGAGCGTTCCAGCCCTTCTTCCTCTCCTTCACCCTTCCGTACTCCATCATTCGAGGGGAGAAGGTCCCTGTCAAGGTGACCATCTTCAACTACCTGAGCAGCTGTTTGAAGGTGAGTACAAGTCAATACTTTAAAAACATTGTCACAGGAATTCGTATTGGAAAATGAAACTGTCGGCTCATGGTGGCCCAAAACATGTGACATTTGCTTTATTATTTTGGGGCAATTTATTCTCACATTGCCCTCAAAGCCAGTCAATATTGTATTACTATTATTATAATTGTCAACTCATGGTCAGCTCATGGTGACCCAAAATATGTAACATTTGCTTTATTATTTATGGGCAATTAATTCTCACATTGCCCTCAAAGCCAGTCAATATTGTATTACTATTATTATAATTATTGCTATTTATGTTGTGATTGTTGTTATTATTTATTATTGGAACTCCACATTTTAGATGTAAAAACACCCCTGTGGAATATTTTATTCATGGCGTTTATTATTTATTAATTTTATTTGTGCTACTCAGATCCAGCTCTCAATGGCGGAGTCTTCCGATTTCAGGATTGAGGCCCGCCCTGCCTCCGAGGACATTGAAGTATGTGGCAACTCTGCTGAAACACTAGAGTATGAGATCATACCTACAGAGCTGGGCAACCTGCCAATCAGAGGTAAAAATGATCCAGATGGTGTTCTGATACTTGTTCCGGTGACAATTTCTCTGCGCTCTATTATGTCAAAGATGTAGGATTAGGGTTAGGATTGCAATTGTGTTTGGGGTGAGGTATAGGGTAAGGGCTAGTTTAAAGCCTGTCTGCACTAGTTTGGCCAGGAGGGATTAGACTCCCCAGCGTGGTCACTGACAGGTCGTTACAGTATCTCATCAAATCCGCTCTCAATTAACATAAGAAAAAGGGGAACATGGGGGACCAATGGGTACTGCTTAGGCATTGCTTGCTATATAGAGGGCACAAGTAGCTACTAGCATACCTGCCAATCACCCCGATTTAGGCGGAGTTCCTCCGCATTTTTCATACCAACTCCGAATTCCGAGTGCATGCCTCAAAACTCCGATTTTTTTTAATTTTAAAATATTTTTAAAACAAACGACTGTTGCATAAGACTAAAGCATAACACAGCAACTAGGCGTTGTGGCGTGCGCCTGTAATCCAGCTAAAAAGTGGAAGTTACAAACTGATTCAGCCGAGGACGCAGGTTCGAAACTGAGTCACGTCTTTCGGATGGTGACGTTTAAAGGTCGGTCCCAGACGTAAATAATCATATCTGATTGATACACGTCTGTAAAAACCCAATAAACACACACACACACTGATAACCAGATCACGCCGACATCCGCGCTCGCGCTCATAGAAGATATACACAGCGCAGCCCGAACGTGATCGTTAGTTCCGTGTACTGCAGTCATTATCCATGTACTGCATGTACTAGTACATGGAAGCACGTGCGCAAGCTATATCGATAAAGTGTGTGCGGATGTTGTACTAATACATACACTACATGCAGTGTTGTTGCATAGTAACTGCATGCGTATAGCCCACGTGTATTTATATTACATGTGCAGTTGATACACCGTGCATAAACACTGTATACATTGGCGTGTTTTCTTCAATGCTTGTGCGATGACTCATGACGAAAACAGTCCATTTAAACTTCACCCCACTTTGGACCCGAAAGTGGGGTGCATTTTGGTGGTAAGCTCACCACAGAGCAAGAGAGAGTTAGAGTCCCTAATCTGCAGTGTAAACAAACTTTGCCAGGACATCGCCAGCCCAACCTTGATAAGTACTGCTTGGAACTCCTCCATGATGTTCTAGTCTTATTCGCAGTCTCATATAGGTTCGGATTATGTCCATTCTCATAGCTACCGGTATACATGGGAGATGCCAGTTTCATCTTCCTTGCTTCACTTTATAAGCATAGTTATATCAGGAACTTCCTGGTTATAATTATGTTCCTTTCAAGTTCATCATAATTGTCTAGTTCGATATAGTACATGGACACAATTAAATATGATATTGTCTAAAATTGTCAAAAATATCTTAACATCGAAATGATTTCTGGTCATGTTTAACTATTTTAATTGAAGCCTTTTTACTTGATCAAATACTTTTATGAGGATGACATAGTCCGCAATAAACTTCACAAACATTATCATCCATACTATATGTCGTAGTTTATAACAAAAATTACTCATGAACCTCACACTACAAGGACAACATTCATCCAGATTCTGAGATTGCTCATTCTCACGAAGCTTGGTGTACGCGAAGATATCGGGAAAGAAAGCGGTCTGTAATACCAGACACGCAAGTGGGGTATTTCGGTCCCCGTTCACCGAAAAGTGAGATTCTCCATTTGAAAGTCGGGTAAGGTTGACAAATATAGCCTCTGTTAAAGGCGTTACTCCGCCACCAAATCTATTCGCATAGACGATATAAACTCGAACGCGTTCAGAAAAATGGTGTAGGCCTAGGCCTATAAGAAAAGGCTGGGAAAACATACATTTTGTTGGTTTGACCGTTAAATATTTTTGAGGTATTAAAGCAAGAATAGAATGTTGTAAATATTGTTTTTGTTACATTTATTCCGTGCGTAATCTGAAGGTCTACTCAACTTTCTTTGCCTATTTCTTGCCCCTCCTCCCAAACGGCAGATCAAGGATTTGAAAATAGGGAGTGGCCGAGGCTCAGACGTCAAATTTGAAATAGGGGGGGGGGGGGTGGTTGTTTAGGCAGGCGGCATATTTCTTGGAATTCGTTATAAAGACGGTATTTAAAAAAATGATGATTCTGGCAAGATAAGAATTGAATTTCATAAAACTTTTATTTGATTTAATATGATCTGTATACGTATAGGATACAATATTTATTTCCCCACAACACATCAAGCCGTGATGATTGAATGTCCATTGCATGTAACACGAAAGAAACAGAAACTCTCAAATCTACAATCCTTTAGAAAGATAATAATTAGCTGAGTAATCATTTAGGGCATTACAAGACATTGAAGGACTTAATCTATTTTACAATAGTTGATGCAACCATAATGCAACATTATGCTTCTCGATACTGAGGATATGAAATTTCAGCACAAGAGTATTTGGTTTCAAAATTTTATAGCAGTTCGTTAAAGAAACATTTCGATGCTCACTTGTATGATAAATCTCTATGACAAGCTCATTTTTATCACGACAGCTAAACCTTTTCACTTTTTGATACTAAAGATTGTTGAAGAATTGCCTAATTGACTGCTCGGATGATTTTTTACCTTTCTCCGAAACCTCTTGGTTTTTTACTCATGATTATAGCGCATTATTCTTTTTGTCACTGTATGTATTAATAAGCAAATACATATCTGCACAACAAACGTCTTTATGATTATGATGTCCTCGTTTCGTTGTATGTTATAAATTCAATATCATGACGAGAAGTGCGTCAAAAATATCTTAACATCAAAATGATTTCTGGTCATGTTTAACTATTTTAATTGAAGCCTTTTTACTTGATCTAATACTTTTATGAGGATGACATAGTCCGCAATAAACTTGACAAACATTATCATCCATACTATATGTCGTAGTTTATAACAATAATTACTCATGAACCTCACACTACAAGGACAACATTCATCCAGATTCTGAGATTGCTCATTCTCACGAAGCTTGGTGTACGCGAAGATATCGGGAAAGAAAGCGGTCTGTAATACCAGACACGCAAGTGGGGTATTTCGGTCCCCGTTCACCGAAAAGTGAGATTCTCCATTTGAAAGTCGGGTAAGGTTGACAAATATAGCCTCTGTTAAAGGTGTTACTCCGCCACCAAATCTATTCGCATAGACGAAATAAACTCGAACGCGTTCAGAAAAATGGTGTAGGCCTAGGCCTATAAGAATAGGCCGGGAAAACATACATTTTGTTGGTTTGACCGTTAAAATTTTTTGAGGTATTAAAGCAAGAATAGAATGTTGTAAATATTGTTTTTGTTACATTTATTCCGTGCGTAATCTGAAGGTCTACTCAACTTTCTTTGCCTATTTCTTGCCCCCCCCCCCCCCCAAACGGCAGATCAAGGATTTGAAAATAGGGAGTGGCCGGGGCTCAGACGTCAAATTTGAAATAGGGGGGGGGGTGGTCGTTTAGGCAGACGGCATATTTCTTGGAATTCGTTATAAAGACGGTATTTAAAAAAAATGATGATTCTGGCAAGATAAGAATTGAATTTCATAAAACTTTTATTCGATTTAATATGATCTGTATACGTATAGGATACAATATTTATTTCCCCACAACACATCAAGCCGTGATGATTGAATATCCATTGCATGTAACACGAAAGAAACAGAAACTCTCAAATCTACAATCCTTTAGAAAGATAATAATTAGCTGAGTAATCATTTAGGGCATTACAAGACATCGAAGGACTTAATCTATTTTACAATAGTTGATGCAACCATAATGGAACATTATGCTTCTCGATACTGAGGATATGGAATTTCAGCACAAGAGTATTTGGTTTCAAAATTTTATAGCAGTTCGTTAAAGAAATATTTCGATGCTCACTTGTATAAAAAATCTCTATGACTAGCTCATTTTTATCACGACAGTTAAACCTTTTCACTTTTTGATACTAAAGATTGTTGAAGAATTGCCTAATTGACTGCTCGGATGATTTTTTACCTTTCTCCGAAACCTCTTGGTTTCTTACTCATGATTATAGCGCATTATTCTTTTTGTCACTGTATGTATTAATAAGCAAATACATATCTGCACAACGAACGTCTTTATGATTATGATGTCCTCGTTTCATTGTATGTTATAAATTCAATATCATGACGAGAAGTGCCTCAAAAATATCTTAACATCAAAATGATTTCTGGTCATGTTTAACTATTTTAATTGAAGCCTTTTTACTTGATCTAATAATTTTATGAGGATGACATAGTCCGCAATAAACTTGACAAACATTATCATCCATACTATATGTCGTAGTTTATAACAATAATTACTCATGAACCTCACACTACAAGGACAACATTCATCCAGATTCTGAGATTGCTCATTCTCACGAAGCTTGGTGTACGCGAAGATATCGGGAAAGAAAGCGGTCTGTAATACCAGACACGCAAGTGGGGTATTTCGGTCCCCGTTCACCGAAAAGTGAGATTCTCCATTTGAAAGTCGGGTAAGGTTGACAAATATAGCCTCTGTTAAAGGTGTTACTCCGCCACCAAATCTATTCGCATAGACGAAATAAACTCGAACGCGTTCAGAAAAATGGTGTAGGCCTAGGCCTATAAGAATAGGCCGGGAAAACATACATTTTGTTGGTTTGACCGTTAAAATTTTTTGAGGTATTAAAGCAAGAATAGAATGTTGTAAATATTGTTTTTGTTACATTTATTCCGTGCGTAATCTGAAGGTCTACTCAACTTTCTTTGCCTATTTCTTGCCCCCCCCCCCCCAAACGGCAGATCAAGGATTTGAAAATAGGGAGTGGCCGGGGCTCAGACGTCAAATTTGAAATAGGGGGGGGGGTGGTCGTTTAGGCAGACGGCATATTTCTTGGAATTCGTTATAAAGACGGTATTTAAAAAAAATGATGATTCTGGCAAGATAAGAATTGAATTTCATAAAACTTTTATTCGATTTAATATGATCTGTATACGTATAGGATACAATATTTATTTCCCCACAACACATCAAGCCGTGATGATTGAATATCCATTGCATGTAACACGAAAGAAACAGAAACTCTCAAATCTACAATCCTTTAGAAAGATAATAATTAGCTGAGTAATCATTTAGGGCATTACAAGACATCGAAGGACTTAATCTATTTTACAATAGTTGATGCAACCATAATGGAACATTATGCTTCTCGATACTGAGGATATGGAATTTCAGCACAAGAGTATTTGGTTTCAAAATTTTATAGCAGTTCGTTAAAGAAATATTTCGATGCTCACTTGTATAAAAAATCTCTATGACTAGCTCATTTTTATCACGACAGTTAAACCTTTTCACTTTTTGATACTAAAGATTGTTGAAGAATTGCCTAATTGACTGCTCGGATGATTTTTTACCTTTCTCCGAAACCTCTTGGTTTCTTACTCATGATTATAGCGCATTATTCTTTTTGTCACTGTATGTATTAATAAGCAAATACATATCTGCACAACGAACGTCTTTATGATTATGATGTCCTCGTTTCGTTGTATGTTATAAATTCAATATCATGACGAGAAGTGCCTCAAAAATATCTTAACATCAAAATGATTTCTGGTCATGTTTAACTATTTTAATTGAAGCCTTTTTACTTGATCTAATAATTTTATGAGGATGACATAGTCCGCAATAAACTTGACAAACATTATCATCCATACTATATGTCGTAGTTTATAACAATAATTACTCATGAACCTCACACTACAAGGACAACATTCATCCAGATTCTGAGATTGCTCATTCTCACGAAGCTTGGTGTACGCGAAGATATCGGGAAAGAAAGCGGTCTGTAATACCAGACACGCAAGTGGGGTATTTCGGTCCCCGTTCACCGAAAAGTGAGATTCTCCATTTGAAAGTCGGGTAAGGTTGACAAATATAGCCTCTGTTAAAGGTGTTACTCCGCCACCAAATCTATTCGCATAGACGAAATAAACTCGAACGCGTTCAGAAAAATGGTGTAGGCCTAGGCCTATAAGAATAGGCCGGGAAAACATACATTTTGTTGGTTTGACCGTTAAAATTTTTTGAGGTATTAAAGCAAGAATAGAATGTTGTAAATATTGTTTTTGTTACATTTATTCCGTGCGTAATCTGAAGGTCTACTCAACTTTCTTTGCCTATTTCTTGCCCCCCCCCCCCCAAACGGCAGATCAAGGATTTGAAAATAGGGAGTGGCCGGGGCTCAGACGTCAAATTTGAAATAGGGGGGGGGGTGGTCGTTTAGGCAGACGGCATATTTCTTGGAATTCGTTATAAAGACGGTATTTAAAAAAAATGATGATTCTGGCAAGATAAGAATTGAATTTCATAAAACTTTTATTCGATTTAATATGATCTGTATACGTATAGGATACAATATTTATTTCCCCACAACACATCAAGCCGTGATGATTGAATATCCATTGCATGTAACACGAAAGAAACAGAAACTCTCAAATCTACAATCCTTTAGAAAGATAATAATTAGCTGAGTAATCATTTAGGGCATTACAAGACATCGAAGGACTTAATCTATTTTACAATAGTTGATGCAACCATAATGGAACATTATGCTTCTCGATACTGAGGATATGGAATTTCAGCACAAGAGTATTTGGTTTCAAAATTTTATAGCAGTTCGTTAAAGAAATATTTCGATGCTCACTTGTATAAAAAATCTCTATGACTAGCTCATTTTTATCACGACAGTTAAACCTTTTCACTTTTTGATACTAAAGATTGTTGAAGAATTGCCTAATTGACTGCTCGGATGATTTTTTACCTTTCTCCGAAACCTCTTGGTTTCTTACTCATGATTATAGCGCATTATTCTTTTTGTCACTGTATGTATTAATAAGCAAATACATATCTGCACAACGAACGTCTTTATGATTATGATGTCCTCGTTTCGTTGTATGTTATAAATTCAATATCATGACGAGAAGTGCCTCAAAAATATCTTAACATCAAAATGATTTCTGGTCATGTTTAACTATTTTAATTGAAGCCTTTTTACTTGATCTAATAATTTTATGAGGATGACATAGTCCGCAATAAACTTGACAAACATTATCATCCATACTATATGTCGTAGTTTATAACAATAATTACTCATGAACCTCACACTACACAACATTCATCCAGATTCTGAGATTGCTCATTCTCACGAAGCTTGGTGTACGCGAAGATATCGGGAAAGAAAGCGGTCTGTAAAACCAGACACGCAAGTGGGGTATTTCGGTCCCCGTTCACCGAAAAGTGAGATTCTCCATTTGAAAGTCGGGTAAGGTTGACAAATATAGCCTCTGTTAAAGGCGTTACTCCGCCACCCAATTCGGAACAGCTTGCCACATGCAGTATCGTGAATGCGCCCGGCACTCTGAGTGGCCGTTTTTCAGTGTATTTTCTTTTAGTGTTCTTAAAAATTCGCCGTGTCGTTTGATCAAAGAGGTACTGGGCAAGCTTGCCTATTAATGATTTGGTTCAATACATAAGCCATCTAACCTTTATGTTTTAAGGTAATGATTATATTTATGCAGAAAACTAAAATACTTGTGACAGTGCGATTATTTCAAGTCGCCCTTTTTAGGTTATCATGCAGCAACATGACCAATCAAAGTTTGGTCCAGTTAACGCTTGTTGGTTGGTGTTTTTTTTTAAAAGTTTATTTGTCCAATTAACTTCTTTATCTTCTCAATGTTTCCTTTCCATCTTTCCTTTCCATCTTTCCTCATGTTTTTCACTATTATCACCTTTGTTCTGTATACCTTTCGGCTGATATTATTCTTTATTTTTCTCCTTCTTTCAACATCTCTTTTCCAATTTTCATTATATATTTCTTTATTTTCTCCTAATTTTATCTTCTTTAGCCATCTTTCCTTATGCCCTTCTTTATTTTCTCTGTCTTTCTAATTTTCATCTTTCCTTATGTATTCCTCTATTTTCACCTTGTCTTATTCTCTCTATCTTTTCTCATGACTGTATTTCTTTATTTCTAACCTTCATTATCTTCTGTTTCCATCTTTCCCTGTGTATTTCTTTTTAAACCTTCTTTTATCTTCCTTTTCCATCTTTCCTTATGTTATTCTTTATTTTCTACTAATTTTATCTTTTTCATCTTTCCTTATGTATTCCTCTATTTTCACCTTGTTTTATTCTCTCTATCTTTTCTCATGTATTTTTTTTCCAACCTTCTTTATCTTCTGTTTCCATCTTTCCTTATGTATTTCTTTTAAAACTTTTTATCTTCCTTTTCCATCTTTCCTTATGCTATTCTTTATTTTCTCTTCCTTCTTTCCCTCCATTTTCATCTTTCCTTATTATCACCCGTCTTTCCCTATTTTATCCTCCCTTTATATTTTCCTTCTGAATTTTTCCATTGCCAAGCACATCAATGTTCTCTTCTATAGGTAAAAGAAACTTAAATAGCTAGTACTTGCTAAAAAAAACAATATGAAGTGAGACTTTAGACACACTGAATCCAGGCCTATCATAAATATAGATGTAGGGTCTGCGATGAGAAGACTATGAATCTGGACTGGATATCAGATACCAGCTGGTAATCCCTTTATCAGTAACTAGGCTATGATTGACCGCTGTCTCTCTCCCCATGGACCCTACTGGTAATCCCTTTATCAGTGGTCAGTGCTCCTATCAGCGCTAGGAAAAGTGGTGAACTGGTGAGCAGAGCTCAAATGAGATGTTTTCCTAATGGCGATCGTGGAAGCTTGTTATTTACCGGACTTCCTCGGATTTATTTTGGATTACTACTACTATATACCTTTGCAAAATAGGGCTCCTAACTGAGGTGGGTAGTGAAACATGTAGTTTTGTGAGTGTTCACATTTTGATATTTCAAAAATTGTTTATGTGTGGGGCGAAAAGGTTGAAGGAAAAGGCCCATTTGCACCATTAAAATGGAGAGAAAAAAAAATAGACCCTAAAGTCCTGTGTACCCCCCCCCCCCCCCCTCCCCCAATCTACTGGCTACTACCCCAATCCTTCGGTGGTTCGCGACCTCGTAGTCCATCCAGAAAAATTTACTCCTAATTTCTCTTGTCTCAGGTTGGCAGGTATGTACTAGTAGTGCAGTCACGCTTTAAGGTATAGTTTTCAGCCAAGGGTTGAAGCTAGGAGTTTGGTTAGTGTGGGATATTGCTCGTAGAGCAATTGTCGTACATACATGTGTCGGACAGCCAACCAGGGGAGTGTTTCACAAAAACTAAGATCGACTTTAAGTTGAACTTAAATATGGCAGGCCGTTCATGCCACTGTTTGCTCTCACTGTTTACTGGCATTTGGTCTCTCAAGGGTCGTACTCTGTTGTTTGTATATTGTAATATTCCTAGTTACCGCCAGTACCAAGCCAAGTGCTTACAAAGTTACTTACCATCTCCAGAATGATTAACTCACTCTGTTGTTTGTATATTGTATTATTGTAATATTTCTAGTTACTGCCAGTGCCGAGCCAAACACTGAACGAGGTGATATGCCTCCAGATGACATCACTTTCCCTGTCACGGATGATCTTGAAGACACCATTTTGGTGGAGGTAAAATATTTATGATTGTATTATATTGTATTGGTCTATTGAGATAAAACAAATCGTCAAACAAGCAGCTTACAGCTGAAGTTGTTCAATTCATAGAGTAAATAGTACAGGGCTTAAAAAATACATTGACAACACATTAATAGATATTGAACACTGAACAAGTATAATGTTTATTTACATGCAATTTACAAGTTTCATTATTGATATAAAATTGCCATTTGTTTTGTGTGTAAAACTGAAATTTGAGAATTAATAGGTTTATTGCATCAATGACGAAGTAGGTAGCCCACAAAGACTGCTAGAGATTGTGATTTCTAAACCATAAAATATGAATGTTCAGAGTTTAAAGGGATCCAGTAACGTTGTCTTAGATTCTGAAACAAAATCCTGAATTTAGCTCATGGTGCAATGATAATTATAAACCTTTAGGTCAGTCAGGAACCCAATGACTTTTACTAGCCGATCGCCTGTCTGATTATCAAGATATTTATAATTGGAAATTGTAACCAAATTTGGCATTTTCCTAACAGTTTTCATAACACTACAGTCTATTGGGGAAAACGAGTATGGTAAAACCGGTCAGTCAAAGATTTTTACTTTTTGAGGCACTTTTTTTCAGGGCTTTAATATTACACCATATCACAGACACTGATAACACGTAGGGCCGTTCATCTCAGATTTAACATTGTTAAACGATGCCTTTAATACAAATAACGAAGAAATAGAGCTAAAAGTCGAGGCTCAAGATTCAACCTTCTGCCTGCATGAGCTTACTGTAAAATAAGAAGCCCCTTTTCAAAGTTTGTGCCCCATAATTGTTTTCAATTTTGTAATAGTTCTTCAATCTGACATTGTAAAAACACTCACTTACTCCACAGTGCAAATTTGTTTAGGGTTGGGCGGTCTACATGTATGGTTTTGTTTTTGCTTACATGTATGTTCTACTTTGTTTTCTTTTGTTTTGTCTTTTGTTATTGTTTATTCAAATACCATATATCATTTTGTATGATTCCTATACTAGTTTTACTGTTCCTGGTGGCTGTCCAGACGAACCCTCTAGGGTTTTTACACAGCAACCTAATTCCTATTTGTTTTTTTACCGTCAATATTGTATGGAATTAAATCAATACTGAACTGAACTGAACTAAAATAACTGTCATTAGCATTTTCAACCGCAATGATTGTGTTTTTGTACTTTCTTTTTTCCAGCCTGAAGGTTCAGAGCGAGAGGAGACTTTCAGTGAATTGATCTGTCCACATGGTAAAGCGACTGGTAGCTTGGGGAAACTTTGGGCGTGTTTATGCTTAACTTTTTCTGGCCAGAATCAGGCATCTGTTACGCGTTTAGTTTAAAACATGGTTGCGTCCATGCTCACTTTTGTAGAATCACCGAAAAACGGCGATCACTATCGCCGATCGTAAACTCACAAAAAGATGCGTTTACAATTTGTAAACGCGTTTAAATGGGGTCAATGCACTGACCTCTAGTGGGTCTACACATGGACCATGGTCTACATAGCATGCGCATTTCAAGGTTGCGGATCCAGCTGCAAGACCAATTAAGGCCACCAAGGGAGAATTGCCTGAAGGAGCCAGAGAAGTGAGCATGAACAGTACACAGTGGAACTGCGATTACGATGAGCGTTTACGATGAGCGTTACAAATCGCTCATTCTGCCTTCAAAATTTAAGCTTAAACGCACCCTTTGTGGTGCAACTCTCTGCCATGTTCCCTCTACAACATTTGACTTTATCCTTTTATTTCATCCAAAAATGAATAAATCTCCTGATATAATCATGAAATAAAAATGCTTTCATTATCCCTACTATTAACCAGCCATCATAGGAAGATCTGTCATTTTTGGATAGAATATATACTTACATGTTAATCTACATTTGCCACTCTCCACCCAGGTGTAAATGGGTACCTGATATGCTTGAGAACTAGTTACTTTGGCAGCTTGGCTACAACCAGGGTAATATGCGTAGAGCGCCATGAGCATCAGAGCCTGGCGGATACCGGCGCTATATAAATATCCATATTTATTGTAGATAAAAGATAAATCTGTTATAAAAGACACATGGCACGATTTGACCCTTGGTTGTTTCTGTTTATGCAGATGTCTTCGCAGTTAAATTTCATTTTTACAGCGAGTAATTTGAATGTATGAATTGTGTATTGCATAATAACCCGGTAAGATGTATAGTCACTTCCAATGTTTCTCGGATGAATTTGATAAAATTATTATAGAGTGGTAGTTACATGTACTGTTCGGTCTATTATTTGGCCTAAAGTTGGACTACTTCTATGAATACTGGTCATTTTTTAAAGCTACTGTCATTTCTTCTCACACATTAGATGATAGTGATGGGGTTTTCGAGCAGACCATCCCTCTTGAGCTACCCTCGTTAGTAGTTCCAGGATCTGCTCGTGGAAGAATACAGGTTATTGGTGAGTTTGGGTCTTATCTCTTCTTCTGAACCTCTTCAGTGGTGACTACATGCCCCCCCCCCCCCAATATCCTCAGTCATCTCACTTTCTCAAAATTAATTCTGTCATATGGACTTTAGCCTCTGATAGTAAAAAGCATTTGGAAAGTTGCGAAATGTGGTTTGTAAGAAAAATGATGAAAATCCCCTGGACTGACAAAGTTAGTACTGAGGAACTTAGTTCTTACACGAGCTGGAGTGCAAAAGGAAAGGATACGTGAGATGTTGATTAGGCAGTTGAAGTTCATGGGTCACATTACACGTAAAGAAGGCCTAGAGAATCTTGCTTTGACAGGGAAAATTGTGGGAAGAAGGAGTAGGGGAAGAAGGAGGATACTTTGGATGGACAGTCTGCAGAAATTGTTGGAAGAGAGAGGAGTGAAAGAACCGGGAGTGGTACTAAAACAGACAGCTAGGAGCCAAGGGTTGTGGAACAGCATGATCGCCAAAGTCAAACAATATGGCACTTAGAGAGAGAAAGAGACATACTACATAACGAATGTATTTTGAGGGGTTTCTCTGCAAATGTTTGTTACATTTACTTCATATTCATTGTGTAATTACTAGCCTCCTGTTCTTACCTTTCTTTTGTGTTTTCTTTCCTTCTGTCTCTCTAACTCCCACTTTCAATCCCTCCCGCTCCTCTATCTCTCTCTCTCTCTCGCAATGTTTCGATGTCTCTTTCACTATCTCATTTGTACGCATTCTCTCTCCATCTCTTTCCTCCCTCTCTTTCTCTCTGTCTCCTTCTTTCTTTGTCTGTCTATCTCTCACCCTCCCCCCTCTCTCTCTCTCTCTCTCCCTCTCTCTCTCTCTCTCTCTCTCTCTCCTTATTTCTGTCTCTCTTTTTCTATCTCCCTCTCTTCATCTCTTCCCCCCCCCCCTCTGTCTCTCTCCTCCTCCTTTCTTTCTCTGTCTCTGTCTCTCTCCATCTTTTTCTGTCTTCCCTCTGTCTTTCACCTACTTCTATTCTTCAGGTGACATCATGGGACCTGTGATGTCAAACCTGGATGGTCTGCTGAGGATGCCGTTCGGATGCGGAGAGCAGAACATGATCTACATGGCTTCTAACATCTACGTCATGCAGTACTTGTCTCGCACCGGCCAGCTTACATCAGAAATCGAGGAGAAGGCACTCAAGTACATGACTAGTGGTAAGAAGACTTGATGTACTTGAATTATTTATTTTAAAAAAAGAGATATCTAAATTATCCTTCGGAAATAGGATGTGTCACTGTTTGTAATGTGATTGCTTCAAGTCCGAAGATGCCCCACATGATTATAGCTTTAAAGCCCCACTGCACTACTTATAGCTACTTGCGCCCTCTATATAGCAAACAATGCCTAAGTGGTGATCGTTGGTCCGCCATGGTTCCCTTTTTCTTATGTTAATTGAGAGCTGATTTGATGAGATAACCACATGTCAGTGACCATGCAGGGAGGTCTAATCCCTCCTGGCTAAACTAGTGCAGATGGGCCTTAAACCATTTGAATAAAGAGAGTAATGTCAAAATATTCCTAAAACTGAAGGTGCTATATTAACCTTACTCTGCAACAGCGTTTTTCAAAGATCTGACTAAATGAGCTTTGGCTCCACAAATCTTTTAGCAAATGTATCTTCCCTTCACTATTGCTGCTTGGCTTGCATATTTTATTTATGATGACATAATGTGGAAAAAGGAAGATCAAAATTTAGTTAGAAAATGAGGATTTTACTTGATTGTGTCACTGGAGGGTAGGTGGAAGAATCCATGACACATGCTCTGCCGACGATTGCTCCGCCGACAAATGCTTCGCAAAAAGCGACAATTGCTCCGCGACATTTGCTCCGACGTCAAATGCTCCGCCGAAAATTGCTCCCGCCGACATATGCTCCGACGACATTTGCTCCGCTGACAATTGCTCCGCCGACAATACTGCTCCTTCGACAGCTCCTCCCAAAAAGGCCCTGTAAAATCCAAATGCTCCAAAATTGCTCCTTCCCCAAAGTACCCTGTTGAAGACAAATGCTCCACCGACGTATCGGGAGTGCCCCGTATGAGACAAATGCTCCCTTTTGCAGCAAAAAAGAGATAGGAAGAAAGGAAAAAAAAAGAAAGAAAAGAAAAGCACAAGAAAATATGGAAATAAAAAGGTAAAGAAAAGAGAAAAGAAAAGGCTAAAGGCAAGGGAAAAGGGACACCAAATAGAATATAGGAAGATTTAATTTCATATTTTTGCATTGGCCTTCAACTTTGGGTCGGGACGGTGCCGGTATAATTAATGACGGCCTCCTGCCGGCGCGGCGTCACGACACATCAGGGAAAATGAGAAATAAAATGGAGTATGAAATATAGGCACACATGCTCGTGAAATAATCATCGATTTTAAAAAGGGGGTGGTAGGCAGGCAGATTTTTATAAGCTATTATACGAAAAGGAAGAAAATTTGCTTGCTCGCTACGCTACAGCTTATACATTTTGCACATCGGTGATCAGGGGCGGATCCATCCGGTGCCAGGGGAGGGGACCCATCTCCCAAAAAGGGTAAAATTTACGTGCTTTACACGTTTTTTCCCCCCGGGCCTCCCTGGATCAGCCACTGTCAGTGATTTAAAAGCGATGCTAGGCACGCAGATGCTTTTTAATATGAAATGGCAAGTCAAAGAATTTCGACCATTCGCTAAGCTCGCTGGCCAACAAGGAATAAACAATAATCCTTAAATAATACTTGCCCGTTTGATTCAAAAGGGGCGTAATGTAGAAAGATTCTATTCAAGATTATAACCTATGATTTTTCACCTTCCTTGTTCGCCAATGAAAAAAATTAAAAACAAACAAAAAACGTCTCCTCAAATGTGTTTGTGCGGTTGTGCCCTCCCTTTCACGGAACAAGAAGACACAGTTACTTTATGGGAAAAAAATATGCCTATAATTATTATCAAAAGACTAAGTGCAAAAAAACCGCTCACTGTCTTGATACGCTAACTCGCGATTATAATTTTAAACATATTCATTTGACGAATGTGCAGCTCCTAAACGCCAGATGAAGAAGGGTGGAAGGCAGGTAGATGCTATTCAATATAAAATAAGCTTAAAGCCACCCGCTCGCTAAAAATGAAATTGACATCGCCTTCACTATGAATGTGCCCTACCAGTCCTGCAGCAAGAAAACTCTTGTTTTGATACTCATTATTGTTGAAAATAACTCTTGGTTTGAAACGCTCGCTCGCCAGTTTGTGGTATAAACATGCTCAATTAATTAAGGAGGGAAATTAAACAGGAAGATGCTATTTATTATTAATGATAAATATACATTTTTAGCTCTCTGTCTCTCTCTCGCTATATACCATCGCTTACCAAAAGGGAATGAATATTACCTTAAATTATATTGAGCCTAAGAAAAAAAATCCCTTTTTGTTGAAAGAAGGTTGACACAAGGTTGAGAAAAGTTTATCTATTACTTACAAGCTTCTGCACTTGCTCCCCCCCCCACCAAAAAATAATAATAATTGCGTCTTTCGCAAAGGTTTACCACTTTTTTTTCAATAATTGTCTTCTGATCGGGGAATTAAAACGCATCCCCCTTCTCACAATGCTGGCTACGGCCCTGAATAACCACAACAACAAAACAAATCACACAAAACAAAAACAAAAAATAACCCATGAAAGAAATATCGGCGGAGGAAATGTCAGCGGAGCAAATGTCGTCGGAGCAAATGTCGCGGAGCAATTGTCGCTTTTTGCGGAGCATTTGTCACCGGAGTAATCGTCGCGGGAATCACAGGGCTTCGTTTTGGTTTGATTTTAAACTGAAATTCAAGTTATTACTCTGGGTGCTCTGGCATTGGTACGTACCTTCTGAGCTCCCATTCTCCCGGCCATGTCGGGTAAGTGTGGTTTATTCAGCGGCTCATATAAGAATCCACATTTGCCAATTCAAAGGGTAAATGAAGTGATTATACTAAAAACAAAGCCTGGGGTAATAATATGTATCTGTAAAGCGCTTTGAGAGGGCCTTAATTCGGTCCTGAAATGTGCTATATAAGAACTAGCTATTATTACAAGCATTGGTAGATCGTCTGTTAGTGGGCTACTTTGCCCGAGCGTTCGAGAGTGAAGCGCGCCATCTCAAACCACTGTTACTTTGCCCTACATCAATTAAGCTACAAATGTAAGGCCACAAATCAGAGCAGCGACTGACTGATTAGTAGCGTGCTCGGTCGCCGCTGGAATTTAGGCATCGCCCAACAATTTTTTGGAGAAGTTGAGCAGGCTGTAGAGCCGCAGCGATGCCTGGGCGGTGCCCTGTCGATTTCCCGTCGGTCGCCCGTCAATTTTAGGTCAAAACTGGGCAAAATCAGAGAGCTTCTCCGGCGGCGTCCAGGCAGTGACCGACCGATGACCCACCAATACCTGAGCAGTCTCCCACCGGCCACCGGCTAATTTTAAGGAAAATGCCCGGCAGCCAGCCAGTGATCGGCGAGGTGCCAAAATACGCTAGGTGCCCGGGCGTTCACCGCCCGAACACCGACTTAATCGAGCGTTCACCATCGAGCAATTTAGGTCAAAAATCAAAGCTGCTAGGTCAAAGGGTGCTGACCGATTTTGAACTCGCCCAGTGACCGACTGATCTCCCAGCGGCGACCGGACAGCGAACGCTCAGCAGCCGTTGACCTAGTGGCTTCGATTTTTGACCTAAATTGCTCGACGGCAAATGCTCGATTAGGGCGGTGCCCGGACGGCGACCGCCCTGGCACCGAGCATACTTTGGGCAGCGAGTGAAAGTGAGCAGGCACCGCCGAATTTTAACCCCGTGCTAAAACTTCAGCAGCGACCGATGCCCTAAAAACAAACGGTGCCCGGGCGAAATTGGCTCAAAACTCGCTGCCCGGCCGCCGAGCAGGCTACTTTTAGGTGATGTGACCATAGCTTAAGCCGGTCTATTCGCTATATAACACTACCTAGTTGGGATTTAAGTGCGTCTATTCGATAAGACAGCAAATTGTCATCTCTTGGCGAGACTCTTTTATCTATTGCATCATGTTCTCTATGATTACGAAATATTGTATCTTTCTGGGGTCTCCCCTCTCACTCTCTCTCTCTTCTATCTCTAACTCTTTCTCTTTTATATCCACATTATCCCATTTCTGTCCCTTATATCACTTTACCCTATTTCACGTACGGAGACCGATTTTCTTTGCACTGTGTCCATACCTGAGTTGGGTCCTTTCATGCTGTCTTTCCAGTCTAGATCGACTGCAATAATGACCATCTTGTCTTCAAATTGAGGAAAAAATATTTCGTTACAATATGTGGAGTTTACTAGGCATTCCAGAAGGAGAGAAGAGGGTTAAATGATGCTTGGCAGCATCAGAAATTAAAATCATTGAATTATTGCCATCCACTTTTGAAACATTGAAACATTTTTTAACATTGATTTTTGCAAGAAGCTAGAAACATGGTCATGTAAAATTAACTAATTTCCAAGTTGACAATCAAAAATCAATATCAACTTTAATTTCAATTTTAGAATCATGGATATTGTTCCGTTTCTGTTTTACTCCTTTGACATGCAACTTGTTCATTAAAACATATTGATATGATCATTTTGTTGTATCCTAATCCAAGCTTATTATTACCCTTGTCCTCTTTCATTCTCATAAATGGATATTGAATAATTTTGTACATTATAACAAGCATCCTTTGCCTCATAAATAGTGTTTGACTTCTCAGTTTGACAAACAGTGTTTTGGGCACTACACGAACTACCAAATGAGCTACTAATAGCAATAGACCTGTAGCTAGAGAGAGCACAATAGAAATGTCCAGTTGATTCGGACAAAGAATTGTGATTATTCTGATGATAAGCTAACAGTTCCTGAAAATGAAATGGTGATATTACGATGATCAAGGTGATGATAATGATGATGATGTATCATCACCAAGGTATATAATATAACCATAGTAATTATACACTAACATCCTCGTTGGAAGTTGCTGCTACCTTGTTTGGCATTCGACAATAAGGGGATTATCATAGAGCAACGTCGATCTGGCGCTGCTAAGTGGCTGCCGGGCTCACGATCAATTGGGCAAAAAGAATTTCCATTTTCGGTTTAACTTAATAAAAGTTGGAGTGGACTTTAAAAGATTGTTATTATTATTATTATTAATATCCTCCTCATCACCAATATAATCATCATCATCACCATCTCAGTCATTATCAAAACAATCAATAGGGTTATGATGAATAATCATGATAGTCTTCGATGTCTTGTTGATGCATAATAATAATAATAATAATAATAATGTAACTTATATCGCGCCAAATCCACTCTGTGGAGTGCTCAAG